GTGGTACAACTTTCATTGTACCTACACTTTCTAACAAATCCCTCTATGGTACAACTCAAAATTGTACCTATACTCGTTGTACAACCTTCACTTTTACCTACACTTTCTCAAAATCCTTCTATGGTACAACCCAAACATGTACCTATAGCGTGGTACAACTTTAAAATGTACCTACACTTTCTAACAAATCCATCTATGGTACAACTAAAAATTGTACCTATACTAATGGTACAACCTTAAGTTGTACCTACACTTTCTCAATATTCTTCTACGGTACAACCCAAACTTGTACATATACTATGGTACAACTTTAAGTTGTACCTACACTTTCTAACAAATCCCTCTATAGTCCAACTCAAAATTGTACCTATTCTTGTGGTACAACCTTATGTTGTTCCTACACTTTTTAAAAATTCTTCTATGGTACAACCCAAACTTGTACCTATACAATGGTACAACTCTAAGTTGTACCTACACTTTCTAACAAATCCCTCTATGGTACAACTCAAAATTGTACCTATACTAATGGTACAACCTTTAGTTGTACCTACACTTTCTCGAAATTCTTTTATGGTACAACCCAAACTTGTACCTATACTATGGTACAACTAAGTTGTACCTACACTTTCTAAAAATCCTTCTATGGTACAACCCAAACTTGTACCTATACCATGGTACAACTTTAAGTTGTACATACGCTTTCTAACCAATCCCTCTTTGGTACAACGCAAAATTATACCTATACTAATGGTACAACTTAAAGTTGTATCTACACTTTCTCAAAATCCTTCTGCGGTAAAACTTGTACCTATATCATTGTACCTACACTTTTACAAAAAAACTCTATGGTACAACCTAAAATTATACCTACACACTAGGTACAATTTTGAGTTGTACCTACACTTTGTGAAACAAATTTTTCAATGGTACATCTGAAACTTGTACCTATACGATATAGTACAACTCTAATATGTACCTACACTTGTATACATTGATTCATTATTTACAAAATTGCAATTAATGATGTGAGACCAGTCATTTAGTGAGTTTACCTTCTCAACAGGTCATCTTTTTTTTTTTTTATAGTATGGGTGCTATAGAGCACACTAGAAGGGATCGTAGTAGTAATGATGAATAGTAAGCAAGACATCGAAAGTTAACGGAGGTCCTTGAACGTGATGGAACAGTCGCGGAGTTGGATGGTAGCGCCAATTGGGTGGTGGCAACGTGAGTTGATTTGGTCCTTAGCACTGATGAGACACGACCAGCAATCCAGCTTACCTAGCTCTCGGTAGCAAGTGGCGACACCGGCGACAGAGCCGGCGCTGTCCTGGTTAGGGTAGCTGTGATACATGACGTAGTCGTCGGCGTTGGTTTTTCTGAACATGTTCTTAGTTCCGTCCACGAAGAAGTCCATGAGATGTCCGACGTTGCTGTCGTATCTTTTGTCTGCCGACTTCCCAACGCACTCGGGCCTGCTGACCGCGGTCGTGTTGGGAAGTTTGGCTTCGACGACGACTAGTTAAATATTCTTGGAAAATGAAATTTACCTGACTAGTTAAATATTGAATCGATGAGGTTAATCACGAATTAGCCAGCATTTCATTGATTTTGAACTAGTCATGGCATCGGTACATTCCATTTCCCTGGGCGATGCGATTGTCTCAACTGCCAAATCAATTGATCAAGTGATGCTTGCTTTATGGAATAATTGCACATAACCCATGCAACGTTTCATATTGAAAAGGAAGTGACGTGGCTCTTTAATTAGCACTACAAATAGGAGATTTTGGGGACGGCTAAGTCGTCCCTTATGTGTGCTTCCCTTTGCTCTTGTTCTTTATTCTTTTGAGGACGACAAAATTCTAGGTCGTCCGCATTACTAGAGACGACAGTCGTCCCCATTACTTACAGGTGTCTTCTCGTTTCCTTTTCATGAAAGACAACATGTCGTCCCTAACTCCCTATAGGTATAACATTAGAGACAATAAGTCATCCCCTAAACGTTATTTCCAAGGACAAACAGTTGTCCCACATAATCCGCTTTCATGATTGTGTTGGACATATCTGGGGATAATATATCATCCTCGTTCCTTTTTATAGGGTTGACATGTCGTTCCTATTGGTATCAAATTGGAGTCTAAAAATCGTCCCCAAAAAATTTATTAAAGGACTACGAGTTGTCTCATTTACAATATATATCTTTAGAGACGTCAAATTGTCACCTATGACTTTTAGGGACGAATATGTATTGTGGGACGAGGAGTTATCAGTTATGCAGCTTATGGAAATGACTAATTGTTCCATATGTAACTTGTATGAACGATTTGTTTCCCTTAGCATGTGTCTTTGGAGACGACTAATTGTAACTTGTATTCCTTGTGGGGACGATAAATTGTTCCTTAAATGTCATGAAATAAACAAGAGGTCATTAAAATTCCAAACCCGTTGAATAGTGAACGGGTTTAAACCCAAACCCGGCCCAAAACCCGTCAACACGGATTTTACCCGCGTTGACCGGGTTGGGTCGGGTGGGTACCCGTGGGTTCGGGTTTTGTTGCCATCCCTATTGCTGGGTGCTGATCAATATCAATGAAAGAAAGATAGTTTCTCTTGGGCCGCATAGTTGAGCGTAATTGGGCTTCTGGCCCAAGAAGGGCGCATCCGCAGTTAAGGCCCAATAGGAAAACCAGGCCGATCAGAAGACCGGGTCAGCGGACGGTCCTTGACCGGCTGCAAACCCAAAAAACAGATAAGGGCGCCTGACATAAAGCGACTGAGCAACACAGAAGAGCAGGGAGCCGTTGAAGATGCGTATCCGGTGTCAGGCAAGACTGAGCATTTATTGCAGGCCTCAGGCGGCCTGCAGAAAGGTAAAAAGCCTGCTCGGGACGCCTGACACAGCCCAGGGCGCCCGACAAGGCATTTAATGCCCCAGCTACCCTCGAACCAGGTATAAATACAGAGTAAGCTCATTTATGGTAAACTCAACTACTACTCATCTCTCTACATAAATCTACCTACTCTCCCATTCTCTCTCTAACTTAAGCTTCGGAGATTGTCCCGGGCGACCGCCCCGGACCCTTGTTTTGCAGAGTATCTGGAGCGCCCCCCTCAGTCCAAGAACAGACGCCTCGCTCAAGCTTCACAAACCGCCTAGTACTTACTAGGCACAAACAATTTGGCGCCCACCGTGGGGCTAGAGTGAAGCGCTGAAGAAAGGATGGAGGGGAACTTTAGAACTCCAGTGAAAGATGTGGTTGGCGGACAAAACATCAGAGGATTGGAGATGCCAACCGTGGAGGAAGAAAAAGATATGGAAGAGCGCGTGAAAGACCAAGGGCAGCAGATCACCAGTATGCAAGAGAGCCTGAGTCAAATCCTCGCTATGCTCAAAACCCGAGAGGAGCTAGAGGGCTCAAGGAAGCGCGACGATAAGGGCAAAGGGGTAGAGGAGGAGACTCCACCTAGCCCATCCCAGACAGAACATGGGAGGTCTGAAGGCGAAGAGAGCGAGGAGGGCGCCCACCTTGACCTCCTCGAAGAGCATCTACGACCCTGCTATGGAAAGCCCAAGGGATACAACGTGTTGCACAACCCCCTGGCGAAAAGTCTGTTCAAGACTCAAGTGCCGTCGAACTTCTCGTCGCTCGGTCTACCCGCTTACACCGGCAACTCCGATCCATCGGATCACTTGAGTGCATTCATGCTCAAGATGCAACTGATAAACGCCTCAGATGCAGACCTATGCAAGGCGTTCCCGGTCACGTTTGGGGGTCAATGCAGGAGCTGGTACGCGTCACTACCAGCGGGGATAATAGAGAACTTTGAACAGTTCGCCACCCTCTTCTCGCTCAAGTTTGCGTCCCAGCGGAGGAGGCAGCTCACGGTCTCGGCACTCATCAACTGCAAACAAGGAGAGGAAGAGACGCTGGCGGACTTCTATGATCGATGGAACACGATAGCATGCGAAATCCAGGATGTTTCGACCAGCGTGGCTACGGGAAACCTGAGAATGTCAACACACAGCCGAGAAGTGAAGAGAGCCCTCATAAAAAAGGAGCACAGCATCAAGTCGTGGCAAGACTTGGACCGCGTAGTACGAAAAGTCATTCTCTTAGAAGAGGCCCTGAGTGCCGAAGAGGTCTTAAAAGGGGTACCGACCTCATCAAACAAGGCCGAGAAGGGAAGGAATGGGTCGCCAAGGCGAAGAGGGCGCACACCCGAGAGACGCGGCTACAAGCCCAGATTCAACAACAGAGACGGAAGGCGCGAGGTATTCACCTCGGAGAAGGAGGAGGAAGGGCGCCGAGAAGGAGGCAAAGCTAGGGAGACACGCCCCCGTCAAAGGAGGGAGGATGATCAGAAATGGTGCGACTGGCACCAGCTGCCGACTCACGACACCACAGAGTGTCGTGAGTTCAAAGCTAGTCTCAAGTACCTGGCCCCAAGGGACCTGGGTTGGGTTTGGGTTTAGGTAAACCCGGCCCGTGGGTACCCGCCCACCCATATAATTAATTTTTTCGGTATATTTAATATTTTAATCAACTAATATTATTTATGTTTGTGGAGACATGTCTAATTTTTTCTTTTTAATTGTGTAGAATGAAGTTGATGTTATGGAGTGGAGAGTAAAGAAACTTAATTGAAAGGAAGAAGCTTTCAATTAAACATGTTATTTATGGAAAATTTGTGATTTGCTTCAATTTTTTTGAGTTTTCTAGATTGGTGTTGAACAATTGGTATAATTAATTTGTGATTTGCTTGAATTTTCTAGAATGGTGTTTTATATATGGATAATTTGTATTGAGAGATTGATATTTGACTTTAATTTTGATAAGAACTTGTAATTGTAAATTTTTTACGACAAAACCCGTGGGTACCCATGAACCCGCGGGTACCCAACGGGTTGGGTTGGGTTTGAGTTTTTCAAACCCAGTGGGTTTTACCCCGGGTTTTTTTCAAAGCTAAACCCATGGGTTTGGGTTTGGGTTTGGCAAAACCCGACCCAACCCGACCCATTGCCATCCCTACCCAGCAATCACCAGTTGATTCCTTCTTCTTCTTCAATGATTGTTGCGACTATTGCCGATTCGAATAGCTTCTTCCTATTCCTAAGAACGGATCAGTTTATCAGGGCTTCTTACCTGTGATCTCGGGTTCTCCGTTCGTTGCTTCATCGTTACATTGACAACGCCAGGAAGCGTTTATGGAAGGGGCGGTGCCAATGAGTGATGTGGCGGCTTTCCAACCGGAGGCCCTCCAGCTCCCGGAGTTGTCACCGTTGGCCTTGAAGGCTAATCCTTTCCTTGCCGAGCAACTCTTCTCTCAATGGCTTTCCCTTCCCGATACTTCTCGATTGGTAAAGCGAAACCTAGTTCCGTTTTGTCTTCATTTCTCATCGACATTTCATCTTCTGCTGAATTTGGGTATCTGTTTTGGGATTTGGTTCTTATTACTGCCTCTCTTTGTGTTGTAGCTTGTTTCCGTTAATTTTGGTTTCTCGGTCATCGCTTAGATTTGGAAAATGTGGAGAATGATTCGTGAAAAGAGTTCCTTTTACTTGTTTTGAAATTCCTAGAAATACTTCTCTGTTCTAATTTCTAACTTGTTTGTACTTCTACTGATTTTCAACATTGCCAGATTCCTTTTTACCCTGGCTGTATTCAGGACCGTTGTTTTGTTCTGCTCCTCGCCTTAATTTATATGTCATGGATATAGGTTAAATCTTTGCTTTCTGCTGCGAAGACTGGGGAACCTTTGAATGCTATTGGGAATTCTAGTAGCACCAATTCTGGCTCGGGCAGTCCAATACCGTCCATGTTTCCTTCTGGCTGCGCTCCTCCACTTTCTCCTCGTAGCGTTTCTGGCTCACCCCGTACTGTGAAACAGAGAGCTGGTCCTTCCTCTTTAGGTTCTCCACTGAAAATCATCAGCGAGCCAGTGCGAGAAGTCATACCTCAGGTATGATTTTCTCTTCAGATGTAACTTCCTGACATGGCCAGTGACACCACATGGAAGATTCTGACTTCGAATTGTCTGTAGTTTTACTTTAAAAATGGCCGGCTGCCTCCAGATGAGACGAGAGAGCGATGCTTGTTTAATGTTGATCAACATTTTAATGATCACATGGATGGATTGCAACAAAATGGTTAGGGTACTTACCCTTTGGCTCAAGTTTTGCTCTTTTCTTTCTCAAAGTTTTCTTGATGGTTTCCTTAGTTAAAGCCTGCCTGCTATTGTTGGTTTACTTTTGCTTATTTCTGTCTTCTTCTATGCTAGAGTTTAAATTGGTTGCAAAGGATATCTGCAAGCTCCCGTCTTTTTTCTCAACTATATTGTTTACAAGAATTGATGTCAACAGTGTCGGCATTATCACAAGGTATCTTACTTCTACAACCCTGACAGCCTATGTTTGCTTGCATAAAGTGGAAAACCATTCTCTTGTCTTAATTTTTAATTGAGATAAATGAGTAGCTTCCTCCCGTAGAAACTATTCGTGGTTTTGCTATCCGATTCTTGGTCTAACGAGGCAATATCTGTCCGAGGAACTCCATCTTTTCTTTGCACTTTTGAATAGGAAAAGCTTATTGGTAACTTTACCGTTGAACTATATTTTTAATCCCCTTAGATCTGCTTCCATTTGAGAAGGGAAATGATGCCCCCCCCCCCCCCCCCCCCCAATATTTTATTAGTTCCCTTTTTGGTTTGTAACCCAGTAATGGAATGCTATTTCGAGAGAGAAATTGAAGTGTTGCAAATGGAAAAAAGCTCGGGAAATCATAGGTTTCAGTACTAAAATAGTACTGACTATTTTTCTTCATAGGCTGATGATGCCTTGTAGAGTTTTAATGAGGACTTTAAGGATCCCAATTAGGCTGATCTTATGGTGTAGCAGGTGAATTGTATCAAACATGCCGTAGCTCTCTATGAGCTGCAGTTTATCAGTGTTATTGTCCTTTATTGTCGCTGTTATCCTTAGCTTCTTCTTTTTTAATTTTCTCTTTGCTTTTTTCGTTGTTACAAAATACAGGGATCAATTTATGGACTATTGGGTTAAAGGAAACTTCTTGACGATGGACTTAGCAACTCAGATCTACACCATTCTCAAGCAACCGGATCGTGGATACCTTAGTCAGGTAAACTGTGAAGCCTTGCCTTTTGTTCTTCTATTTTGCGATTCCTTCTTATCATTTGCTTGAGTTGTTTATTCAATTTCTGGTGAAAAGCTGAATGTTAGTTGCTGTATTATTAGTTACAGTGGTTTTATATCTTCCTTGTTTGCAGGATGATTTCAGACCTATTTTACGAGAAATTTTGGCTACTCATCCAGGGTTGGAATTTTTGCAGAGTACCTCAGAATTTCAAGAGAGATATGGTAGTTTATATTTTTCTTTCGCTTCATTTGTGTAAATGCGTAGATTCTTCTATCAGCGAGTGCCTTATGTCTTCTTCTGGATTGTCGTACAGGATTGCATCTCTTTTCTGAATATCCTATATGATTTTCGACCGTGTTTGGGAGATCTACTGATATGGTCTTTGTGTTATCCTATTCAGGCTAATTGTGTTGTTCTTCTGTCTGTATTCTTTTTAAAGATTTGGAGGTGATAACTTGAGCATATCGGAAATCTTGTCTCTCTCTGTGTTACTTCTGAAAGTAGTCTGGGGCCTTCATAAAAAAACAAACAAAAATAGTATGCGGGGATAAGATGGGCCTTGCTTTTAGCCTCTCATTTTATTATGGTGTCTTACTTTATACTTGTAGGAGAGTGATATGTAGGGTATGACCCCTCTTTTCTAACTTAAAGTGCAATTGGACAGCTGAAACGGTCATATACAGAATATTTCACTATGTCAATAGATCAGGAACTGGTCATCTCACCCTCAAGGAACTAAAGCGTTCGAACTTGGTGGCTGCAATGCATCAAGTGGATGAGGAAGAAGATATTAACAAAGTTTTAAGGTAAGCGTGTAGCTGAAGATTCGACTACTTATTTGACCAAAGTAGTTTGTTTTGAACTGGGAAATGTGAGGTAGGTTGTTGGATGAGAATATTATATTGTTAGCTTATTGTCTTTGTCCCATCAGTTTACTTTTTTGTATTGCTAAATTGTACTATCGAGTGCTATCCAAACTCAGAGCTTTCACAGTCCTTTCTCAATTATTAGTTTTCATCAAATGTCACTTCAATGTTATGCTATGTTACTTCCCCTAAATATTTATGTTTCTTGTTTGGATCTGCTAGGTACTTCTCTTATGAGCACTTCTATGTGATATACTGCAAATTCTGGGAGCTCGACACAGACCATGATTTCTTAATTGACAAAGAGAACCTTATTCGATATGGAAACCATGCTCTTACGTATAGAATTGTTGATAGAGTATTTTCTCAGGTGTGTGTGTTTTACTCTTGTTACAAGGCTGAGTTCTTAAACAGAAAATGATTGCCCAGAGTTGGAATTTTTTCTGTGTCACTAATATCAGACTCTCTTGTTTAGGTTGCCCGGAAATTTAGAAGCAAGGTTGAAGGCAAGATGGGGTATGAAGATTTTGTCTACTTCGTACTCTCTGAGGAGGATAAGTCTTCTGAACCTGGCATTGAGTTCTGGTAATTTAGTTGCTGTTTTTGGAATCACATATCGAGTTTGCAATTGCACATTGAAAGGTTGTAATTCTGTCAAGAATGACATTTTAGTTAAGGCACTGCTATGTACTTTTCTTGGAGTGCCAAACGAAAATTGGTCAGTTTTCAGTTTTCACACAGCAAGATTCATGTTTTCTGGATCTGGTGTATTGAGGTCTTATGTAAACTTACGTAAAGTGAGGTCTGTGATGAAAGAACTGAATGCTAACAGAAAGAAGTAGCAAGAATGAACTTCAACAACTAAATTTGTCGTATCATTTTTGTCTAAATTGGTGCTTTCATCTGGAAGTCTTCATTATGTGCTTTATCAACTTTAAATGCTAGATGAAGTGCTATGATCTGTACTACATGGTATTAGGGTATTTTTAAGGTTGTTAACTGGTTTGCTTTGGTACCTAATTTTGGCGCAGGTTTAATTGCATTGATCTGGATGGGAATGGTGTCCTCACTTCCAATGAAATGCAGTTCTTCTATGAAGAACAGTTGCATCGAATGGAGTGCATGGCACAAGAACCAGTCTTGTTTGAAGACATATTATGCCAGATTATTGATATGATTGGGCCTGAGGTAACTTGCTGATGTTTTCACTTACTCTTTTCACTTTTGGACCTCAATCGTATTGACAGCTCTATATCTCTTATACTTGACCTGATAATGCAGACCGAGGGTTTTGTCACATTGCGTGACATGAAAAGGACCAAACTTGCCGGGCACGTGTTCAACATTCTTTTCAATCTCAATAAGTTCATTGCCTTTGAAAGCCGGGATCCTTTCCTAATTCGTCAGGCAAGTGTTACACTTTCAAGCTTGGCAATTGCTGGCTGCTTGTGGTGACTTGATAATGACTTTGTAAATGAACAAATGTTGGTTTCAGGAACGAGAGAATCCAACTTTGACCGAGTGGGATCGATTTGCACATAGAGAGTATATAAGGCTTTCAATGGAAGATGACGTAGAAGATGTGTCGAATGGGAGCGGAGATGTGTGGGATGAATCCCTCGAGGCTCCCTTCTGAAACCCCCCATAGGTATGTATTCTCTCATTGCATTGCTTTCTCAATAGGAAGTCGACATTGTATTTTCAGAGGGCATGTTTGTCTGAACCACGAGTGGCCGACTCAATCTTACAGAAGTGTTTTTTCACGTGAAGTTGAAGAATCATGGAGAAGATTTGGTATTGTTCACATCTCTCACAAATGCTCTTAATTCTTTTCTAGTGTTTGCCTGCTCTATTTAATTCTTCCCCCTTCATTTTCTCGAACCTTTTCTTTTGTTAATATTACAGCTGCAATATCTTAAACATTATGGCGAATTGTAATTATCTAGCGGTGGTTTGGAAGTTATGATTCTTAGAATGCATGTATTTGAAAGTAAGGAACAAAATTACAAGGATTATAAGAATACATTGAAAGATGTGAATCATAAATTGAGGTAAGTGCAGTTCGATCACTACCCAAAATATCAAGTCCCGGCTTGAAGATCGCTGTTATCTTCTCCTGGTCGAACTTTGTCCCATGCAGCGATGGTTTCAAGCTCTCGTCTTATCTACCGACTACCGTTGTTGAACTGCGCTACTCTCTCTTCGTTGGGCACATGGAAGTACCTGAAGAGATGTATAGAGAGGACTACGTCTATGAGTTGTATCTTTTCCGTTGTTTTTTTTTTTTTTTATGAATATGTTTTCTGTTGTTGTTATCGATCGTCTCTTAAGATTTTTGGATAAAGCTGCTAGACAGTTTTTATGACAATGTTGTCAAATCTGGTTTTACCTGTTGATCCAGCGAAGCATGCAGATGAAGGTTCGGCCTGTGCCTGTCCAACTAGCATCGACTCGGTCCCGGTTTGTTCTCAACGATACCACATGTATTATCTATGAATAAAATGTAAAAGTTAATTCACCAATGTATATATATTGCTCAAGAATCCACAACCAATTCCATAAATTTATATTTAAATAAAATATAAAAATACCGATAAATTTTTAACATTTAAATTCAAAAGATTACATCAACATATAACTGTATATACTTGAATCATATTTGGTGATTTTCCCCTAAATTCACATAATCTTTAAAAAATTCTCAAAATACCTACGTTACAAAAAAACTTTTCCAATCTACACATGTTTGAAGAAGACTGTTGTTGTCAAAGGCGGCGAAGATATTCACTGATGTCGTTAACAGTAGTGATCTCATCACCGTCGTTAACCGCAATGAATATCACCGCTTTTGTTAACAACGGTGAATAAGTCACCGCTGACATGTAACGTGGTGAGGCGTCGGATCTGAGAGGTAAACCAGAACCCGTGCCTCACTGCATCCGACGACCGCGGTGAAAGGTTGGGGCGACGCGGATCGCTGATATGGACCCACCCTTTCACCGCGGCCCTTGGGTGCAGCGAGGCGCATATTCTAATTTTCCTCTCATATCCGACGCCTCACAACGTCCCTCTTCAGCAATCCGCGCGCATCATCACTAACGACGAATGCGGTTTTTATGCTGCATTGGACGACTGCGATAAAGTCACAGCTTCTCTCTCCAGCGGTCTCCTCCACCTATATATTCAGCCCTCCTCCTCCCAATTTCAGCCACACCACCACACTTCACAATTCTCTCCCTCCGATCCCTTCCTCCACTCTAGGAATTCCATGGCTAATTATCATAAATGGTAACAAAACTATTTACTTTATTCAAAATGGTCACAAACGTTTATTTTGTACATTTCAGTAACATATGTTTGGACTAATAACAAAAAGATGTGGCAGAGAGGGAGAGGAAATAAAGAGGAATGGCATGGGTTGTAATAGGGTGGTGGGTTGTTTAGGGTTTAATTGATTTTTATTTTATTTTTTATTAATTATTTTGATGATGTGGATGCTGACCGAACGACTGACTGGAGCAAACTAACAGAATTTTGGATGGAGATAGAAAAAAATTATTTTTTGTTATTAGTCCAAACTTATGTTTTTGAAATGTACAAAATTACAAATTTGTGACCGTTTTGTACAAAATGAATAGTTTTGTTACCATTTATGTTAACTACCCGGAATTCCAATTATGGTTTGTGGGTGCGGTTAAGGTTGATCCTCCACAACATAATAAATTTAGTAAGTTATTTCCTACAACCCTCCCCTATGTAAACTTGTCGAACCTCCGTCCGACTTCAGCCAAAAAATGGACGAAGAGGCTCTTAGACTACATACTTGCTTTTCCTTTTCTGATTTATTTTTTTAAATCGAAATAATCTGATTTTCATTCAATTTTTTTTATAGATGGGTTTCGAGATATATGATCCTCGATTGTATATCGATCCTTGGCTAAGGGATGCGAAATATTTAACCGAGCAAGTAACACATCGCTCTCGTGCAATTTGGCACAACAATCCGGTAGGCACTCATAACATCTAAAATTTTAATTTTCAAAATTTTGAAACTTTATATTTTGCTTTCCTTTCACTAATAAGTTGGCAGTGCTATGTTCATCCTCCAGTTCTGGGCATGAGAGCATCTTCCGATGTTCGCACCTCGAGAGCCATTGGAATTCTAGACGGCAAATGAGGAGTTACAAGCTGTGGCAAATGCCCCATATGGTACCAAGTAAGTTTATTTTACTTTCAACCTTTTCAATTATTTTAGATTTATTTGCTTTTGCATTTTTTAAGTATGTGTTGTATAGCTTTAAAATTCTTACATTTTAGAAAAATTATTATATACTTAGATTTATTTAAATTGAATCCTTCTCAAGTATCTATCTCTACTATACTTATAATACGCCGAAGTGGAAAACAGTTTCCCCATTTCAAATTTCCTGCAGCGAGAGTGAAAGTAGGAAGGACACTTTGGTCTTCACAATTACCTTTTTTTTATTCATTAAAAAGACATGTACTAGAATTCGAACCATGACCATTTTAAAGAAAAGCAAGAATCATAACTAATCACACTTAGTACATTTGTTGTATCCTTTTAAATTAAAAACATATAATAGCAGGGAGGAAAAAACTCTTTCCCCATTTCAAATTACGTGCTCCGGGAGCGTTTGTAGGAAGGGTAGAATAGGGAGTGTCAATTTTTTTCTCTTTCCTCTGTGGAACGGGCCAACTTACCGTACACATGCGGATTTAAACCGATCCAGGAGTGTCAATTTTTTTCTTTAAGCCCTTTTATTTCTCCGTGGTGATAAAATGTATATGAAAAGGCAAAAATAATACTCTTTTTTATTGCTAAAAATAAAAAATTTAACAATAAATCTAATGGGCTAACCGCTAACCATAAAATAAAAGAGTTGAATGGGCCTGACCTACAAGGGATTTGGCCATCAAGTAAAACAAATGAACATCATTGGTTTGCCATTCTAAAACAAGCTATTTTCTCTGGCATAATATATATTATGCTATTATTTTATATCTTAGTGGCTAAAATATAATGTATTTTAAAGTTATTCAATGGTTCAACCTCGACCAACCCAATTAATCCAATTTTTATCATTTTAAATATATATTATATAATTATTTGATATCATAATGATCAAATTATAGTGTATTTTATAGGAAATCGTTTGGTATTTGTTAGTAAAAAACTAAACAGAACGATCTATTTGGTTATTTTAAACATTAAAGCGATCCTAAACATTTTCAGTTCCTTTTGAATTTTTATGGTTTTATTCCCGAATAAGTGATGTGCAAATAGTGAATTGCAGTCATCTCTTTTCTTTCACTATTTTTTTTCAAATAGAAAGTTTAAAAGTAAAGAATAATTAGAATTTGGCATGGGTCGGTCAAACAGGCTGAATTTCAAGTTTTAGCCCGTTTTGATCAAGTCTAATTTATAATCACATGGTTCCCAGATACCCGATAAAAATCTCAATCCAAACTAGTTTGGCAGGTGAGTCCTTGTTTACCACCATTTTCTAGGGATACGACAACGACAGTTCCTATCCCAAATCGTGTTGTTCGTTCTTGATTTCCTTAGATTTTATCATGGCCTAACAAAAACCAGAAAGCACAATGACGACAAGATGAAAGTGCAAGCCTTATGCGTTAGGATTTGATAGTGTGTTTAGTTTTGATGGAAGACACAATATCCATTACTTCGCAAACTAATATCCATCGCATGAACATCATTATATCCTATCATCACATACTAATATCAGTACATTAAAAAAATCTATCACTGACCAATATCCATTACAAAAAAAGAAATGAGAGAAAGAGAAAGAGGGTTAGAGAGTTAAAGGTGGTTGGAAATTTAATGGGTCATCACTTCTCCTTTTTCTTTACCCTTTTCTCTGTCTCTGTAAGTATCTACTAACAACTTACCTTGTGAGTAGTTTAACTTTTTCGCATTTATTTGCCCATAAAGCCCCACAACCCAAAAGCAACTGGCGCAAAGTAACAACATGAGAAGAAAAGGAGAGAGCGCCATCTTCCTCCCTATCGCAAACAGCAGCAGCTCCCGTCGTCCGCATCTTCTTCCCTCGCGCGGCCGACGTAAGGGAAGCTGCAGGCCGCAAAGCACCCACCATCAGCCAACCCCATACCTCGACCGGAGAGACGAACCCCAACCCCCAGTGACATCTGCAGCTCGCCGGAGTCTGCGTTCCCTCACTGTCGTTCCATCACCGTTCGACGACACGTACGAAAACCAGTGCAAAGAAAAGAGGTGGAAACCAAGTTTCCCTGGCTTGGCCTAGTGCAATACGGGTCCGGAATCCATCTACGGAGTTAGAATCGCTATTAGATGTCTATAGATGCCTCGTCGGAGCCTCGCCGGAGATACACCGGTGTGTCGCCGAAAAAACCCCCAGAAGAGCCAACCTCTACCATACCTTGAAAGGTGGGTACGGTTGCGTAGAGGACAATCCTATGATTGTCGTCGTGTCAACGAAATCGAATTCGGACGTCTAACGAAGGAGAACAGAGTCTTGAAAGTTTGGGTGAAAATTTGTCAAGTCCATGTACCATTCTCGGTAATTCAAAAAGTTAGAGGATTTAATATGCAATTTTTCAGAAGGGTCAGGGTCAATGGTGTTGATTGAAAAATTATAAATTTGGTACCTGATACTTTGAAAACTGACAGATTGTTTATTTTGGCCATAACTTGTTCGTTTGACGTCCAAACGAGGAACCGTCGGCGCCTATGGCATCGTGGAGGCAAGGAGAATTTAATAGAGAGCTTATGAAATTTATAGAGCAATAGCAGAGTCTTTTTAGACGGATTCGAGTTGAGTGTAAAGGTGGTAAAATCTCCATCGAGTTCTTTTTATTTATGCATTTACTTATAGTAGTTTCGTTAATTTTTTTTTAGTTATGCGCGATTATATGTGTAAGGCATCTCGCTGCCTACTTAAGGTGGAGGCACGCGTTGTATTATGTATGTGAGGTATGTTTGTATGTAAGATGAACCCCCGGACGGTTGGGCCACTACTGGACGCAGTATATGGTCGGATCACTGTTGGACGGCGATACGTAACGCATCAGTTGATCGAGTATGTTGGGGTCACTACTGGACGGCGAGACGTAACACAGTAGTTGACCGAGCATGGACTGGATGGCGAGACGTAACGCAGTGTCATTGCCAAGATGTGTATGCAACCAGACATGCGAGACGTAACGCGGTTGGCACACTGAGTAGGACACCGGACGACGAGACGTAACGCGATGGTCCTAGTGTCTTGTGTTTGAGTTAAGGGTAGAAGTTGAAACTTCTATGGGTTTTTGTTGGTATAAAGTATTAAGGATAGAAGTAAATAACTTCTATGAGACAAGGATAGGAGTAAAGATCTTCTATGAGTTGTTTTGGAATAAGCTATTCAAGAATAAAGTACTAATGGATGAAAGCAAGAACAACTTTTGTCTAAAAAAGGTAACCCGCTAATAATGTGTTTAATAAAGGTTTGCTTATGCAAACACCTTAGGAAGTAACGACGAGACTGACCCTATCTCACTCACCAGGTTGAGAAAGAGTTAGTAGTCGTGGTTTTCGAGAAGGCAAGGCGAGGTGAGAAGCCACACCAGAGCGGACAAGATCTCAGGGGAGCGTAAGGAGTTAGAGTTAGAGTTTGTTTAGTTATTTATGTTTATGATTACGAGTATAACTGGAGGTTCAAAGGTTGAGTTTTATTCACTGTGATTCGAGGTCGCCCATGTGTTTAGGGCATTGCATTTGATGTTTTTCTTGGAAATGATTAAGTTGTATTTTAATTTTTTTGGTTCTTTTAAATCGGCTCCAGAGCCATGGTTATTTCGGTTTGGTTAAAAGTATCGAGACGTTTCATTGCACATGATTGTAGGTGATATGGGACCCATATCCACAACAAGTACTAGAGCTGCATCTTCTTAGACACCTGGAGGATCACAAGACATGGTTGTATAAGGTGCCTTTGATTTGTTGGCACATCGTGGAGTGGCACCTGCCGGATCGAGCGCTAATGCAATATAAATTGGAGCAACCAATTCAAGCATCCCCACCCCAAGGTTTCCGGGAGCTCCATGAAATCTACCTTCGTGTCACAAAGCAAAGGATTGGATCCGCAAACATGACTTCTACATCAAAATTTGGGAGACTAGAGCTTAGTGGGTGATCCAAGGTAATCCGGAGACGAGGCCGATCGGGTACCACGATGGATACATGAGGTGGTATCGGAAGTTCACACTTAGATGAGTTTCAAAGCAAGGTGCTGTGATGGGTTCTTTGGTAAGCGATCTCTAGTCTCTCTCTTTGTTTTTTTTCTTTCCTGCTTTGTGGCTTTGGTAGTATATATTGGATACTTAGACTTTGGTACTTTGATAATGTGGATTAGGTTGAAGGATTAGAGCTTGCCAACCACACTGTCGAGAGTGCACCCACCATGGATGAACGTAATACCTCTATCTTGCGGAGACTTTTCAACGACCTACTAAGTTCTACCCGAGAGCAAAGGAGGGATGTCATATCATATACCTCCCAGCCTGCACCAGCGCATTCGTCATTCCGTGATGATGAGCGCATTGTGCCCCCTCTTGAGCCACATCGGAGGAGAAAACGAAGGGCTCAACCATACATTGTGAGCTCCATCTGAGAGAGCCAACTACACGTTAATGGTTGGTCCGAATTGATGCTCGAATCTTGCTGGAGAGGTGGACGTTGGCAACGCTTCTTGTCATGTCCAGGTTGTCTGCACTTGGAGCAACGTTTCGGATCTCGCCTTGGTCAAGCTGATTGATCCATCTCATTGTTAATCCTTTCAGTGCTAGTACGACCCTTGGTGCGCTTTAAGTGCAACAGTGGGATAATCAACTTCCCAATGTGTAGAGGCCAATAGGAATAGGTTAGAGTGAATACTAGTTTTTTAGTAACCATCGTGACAACCTATATCTAAACCCTTTATTAGCATTATTTTTTTTAAACGACGATCAAGATTATATTAAGGATAATTTTGGAATCAAAATATTACCCCATCAGATTATTAAGGATAATTTTGTAAGAAAATGGGGAGTTCTACGGTACCAGAGTGAAATCCGGGGTACCGCATACCTTGAGTAAGAAAACACTATCCAGAACTTGAATTGACTGATCTTTCAGTATACTCTAACCCTTAAGATCAAAATCTAGGTCTTAATTCTCTAAATCTTATACCCCAAGATCAATTTAATTAGAAATAATAGTCGATCAATTTAATTAGAAACAATAATAGGAAAAAAAATCAATGCACCATCTTATGGTTTATAGTTTATGATTTAGATAATTAGGACCTAGGGATTCAACGAAAAAAAAAATTAGGACCTAGGGTTCACTCATTAAGGGTTAGGGTATAGTATCATCCCCAAAAATCGGGTCCGGATCCTATCAGTAACGGTCAGTAACCGATGATCCGGCCGTCCATCGCGCCATCTTCCCAGCCGTCAGATCATGCCAGTTAAAATACACGCGGGGGCAAAAACGTAATCACGTCTCTGACAATTTGAATTGCAGACGTGACAGCGACAACCGTCCCGCCTTCTCTCCTTCTTCCTCTCACCTTTCAAGCGACAGTTCCACTTCCCTCTATGCTCTCTAACTCTCCATTCTTCCTCCCGATTCTCAATTCTCTCACCAAAATCGCAGCAAAAACTTCCAGAAAAAACTTCAAATCGAACGATTTTCGCAAAGGTTTTCGAAGAATCATTCAACGATACACTGTTCTCGCTTCTTCGTCGAAAAACGAAGAGTTTCCAACTTCAACGAGGCTCAAAAATCGTTTTCGCACAAAATATCAAGGTAAAACCTCACTTCTTTCTTCGAAATCCATCCACAGAACAATAGAACAGTATCGCAGTCACTCTCCATGCGTTGCTGAACTGATGTAGAATCTGTTGTGTTTTGCTTCATTACCATATGGTAATGTGTGGTAAATTAAGATTGCATGTTCTAAAATAACAAAAAACCATAAGTCCTGCTGTGTTTTGCTTCGTTACCATATGGTAATGTGTGGTAAGTTATGATTGCATGTTGTAAAATAGCAAAAAACCATAAGTCCTGCTGTGTTTTAGTTTGTTACCATATGGTAATGTATGGTAAATTACGGTTTCATGTTGTAAATAAGCAAAAAACCATAAGTCCTACTGTGTTTTAGTTTGTTACCATATGGTAATATGTGGTAAACTATGGTTTCATGTTGTAAAATAGCAAAAAACCATAAGTCCTGCTGTGTTTTGCTTCGTTACCATATGGTAATGTGTGGTAAACTATGGTTTCATGTTGTAAAATAGCAAAAAACCATAAGTCCTGCTGTGTTTTGCTTCGTTACCATATGGTAATGTGTGGTAAACTATGGTTTCATGTTGTAAAATAGCAAAAAACCATAAGTCCTGCTGTGTTTTAGTTTGTTACCATATGGTAATGTGTGGTAAACTATGGTTTCATGTTATCAAATAGCAAAAAACCATAAGTCCTGCTGTGTTTTAGTTTGTTACCATATGGTAATGTGTGGTAAACTATGGTTTCATGTTGTAAAATAGCAAAAAAACCATAAGTCCTGCTGTGTTTTAGTTTATTACCATATGGTAATGTGTGGTAAGCTATGGTTTCATCTTGTAAAATAGCAAAAACCATAAGTCCTGCTGTGTTTTAGTTTGTTACCATATGGTAATGTGTGGTAAGCTATGGTTTCATGCTATAAAAATGGAGGAAAACATACGTCCTGTTGTGTTTTACTTCGTTACCATATGGTAATATGTTATAAGACATGGTTTGATGTAATTACCATATGGTAAAATGAGATAAATATATGGTTTGATTTGGTATGGTAGGAAACCATTATGGTACCATATGGTATATCATGGTAAAAAGCACGCTAACAGACTATTCCTAATTTCTACATTCAGGTACACTATGGTAAACCAAAGAAAAATTTTTCGCACAAGGTGCAGCCCAACAAGAATATCTGCAATTGCAAGGACTATAAAAGATGACCAGAAAGAGAAACTAGATATATTAGGCCTAGCAGGCTTAATATCAATCAAGCAGACAAAGATAAACAACCATTTTGCATTGTTCGTAATGAACAAATACAATCCAATGAAACAATCTTTCAAGCTACCTGACGGGACACGCATGAAGATATCACCAATCGACTTTCATAGGGTATATGGTCTGCCAATGGGGAATAGGGAAGTTGTACCTCCCACGATTTCTTGGGACGACGCAGCAGATTATGCAGTAGAAACCCTACTGGAAGTAGATGGAAAATCCACTCCAAGGGTAAAGCTAAGTCAGGTAGAAAAAGATCTTTCTACAGTTACCAACAGTAAGAGATGGTTACAATTGTTCTTTCTGCTGGTCACCGGAGGCTTGCTGTGCCCAAGTTCAGCCCCTATGGCTGAACTCAACATGCTTGAGTACTTGAAGACTGATGAACAGAAACATTTCACCAGCTACAACTGGTGCAAATACTTCTTCAACCACATGAATGAAGGATTGAAATCACCAAAGCTCTACGTCAATGCAGATCTTCACTTCCTTACAGTAAGTCTCCATTCCCTTGGCCATTTCAACCTTGTTACTCATATATTTTATATATAAATGATACTCTTTGAAAAAACTAATACAACTATCTGCATAAAAAGGTATGCTTCATGTACAAACTGGACGAAATGGCATTCTCAACCCAGCTTCGAACACCAACAGTAAGCTACTATGATGATAACAATGTTGATAGCAACTTTGAGAACATTAAGAGCTACTACAATGGAAAAGAGTTGAACGAGATCGAAAAGGTTGCCAACATTACAGACGATGAGGCTGATGATGAGGCTGATGAAGCAGCTGATGAGGAAGAGGAGAATGAGCCAGTCTATAAATCACCGAAAAGACAAAGAAACAAAAGTCCAGAGCAGTCATCATCACTGAACTTTGATTTGAATAATATCAGAACAGTCAACCAAGTAAGTACAAATTATCTATATTACAGTTGTCCAATTCAAATTATCTATATTACAGTTGTCCAATACATGCTAAGCGTAAGTCCTGTGTTTTAGTTTGTTACCATATGGTAAAGTGTGGTAAGCTATGGTTTCATGTTATAAAAATGGAACAAAACATAAGTCCTGTTGTGGTTTACTTCGTTACCATATGGTAATGTGTGGTAAGCAATGGTTTCATGTTATAAAAATGGAGGAAACCATAATTCTTGTTCTGTTTTACTTTGTTACCATATGGCAATGTGTGGTAAGCTATGCTTTCATGTTTTAAAAATAGCAAAAAACAACAAGTCCTGCTGTGTTTTAGTTTGTTACCATATGGTAAGGTGTGGTAATCTACGGTTTCATGTTATCAAAATGGAGGAAAACATAAGTCTTGTTGTGTTTTAATACGTTACCATATGGTAATGTGTGGTAAGCAATGAATTCATGTTATAAAAATGGAGAAAACCATAATTCTTGTTCTGTTTTACTTTGTTACCATATGGTAAGGTGTGGTAAGATATAGTTTCATGTTATAAAAATGCAGAATAGTGATAATAATTGCCAATACCATGTATTACCACCATGGTAACTAACCATACTCCCATTATGCAGGCTGAGAATGCAATCAAACTGCTTGAAGCATCAATGAAGGCAATGATGAAAGCAATAAAAGACCAGTACAAAAGCCAAATTGACAATCTGATCAGACACAAGGAGAATCTTGCGAAAGAAAGCTGTGATGAATATGTTCAGCCCACAGAAGGAGAAAAATCTCAGTGTGAAGATGATGAAGAAGAGAATGATGAAGAAATGCATGACAGTTTGAATAAAACACTCAATGAAATATTCAAACAGACAAACATAGACCAGAATGAAGAGGAGAACGAGGAGCAAACACAGAAAGAAGATGATTCACAACCATCTACAGTCGATCTTGCTGCATCTACACCGAAGCCAAAAGAAAAGGAGCAAGATGATTCTGCTCCAGGAGCTGTGAATAGGGAAAGCATCCCAAAAGAAGGAGATCCACTGGGGGAAGTTGCAACAGAACCACCAAAACAATCTGTTCAAGAAGGTCCGAATCAGGGAACACCACAACAAGAGGACACCCAGAAAGCAGTTCCAGAACAGACATCTGCAGAAGAAACCGAAGAAAAAGGAGCTACCAAAACAGCAGATCCAATGGAAGTTGATAAGGAAACAACAGAAGAAGGGAATACAGGGCAAGCTGCACAAAAGACTGCAGAAACTGACAGCGAGAAGACGGTGTCAGATGATGTTGTTCGTGAAGAGGCTCCAAAACTGACAACCGAAGCTGCTGAGAAGCCTAAAGTGACGAGGGAAGACGACATTCCATCCTTTGATCTCAGCCCTCTCAACCGTCAAACACCAACAACACCAACAAAGTTGACTACCAACACGGCAACCGATCAACCAGCAGAGCCTCGCAAAAGAAGAATCGTGATAAAGAATGTACACGGAAATGAAAAGAAGGCAAGAGTAACACCACCACCAGAACAGCCACAAAGCACCCAGTCACAGACGGGGTCATATGCTATATGGTCAAATCTGTACACAAACAGCCAAGAGAAGCTCAAGGAAGTCCGTGAATGCATAGATGCTTACCTAGAGGACCTGAATTCTCCAGCTGCCGAACCAGTTGCTCCACAGTCACAAAAATCACCAGTTGAATGGTCAACACCAACACAAACAACACCTGATGATATGTTCAGCAACATCCTGGAGTACATAAGATGCAAAAACAAGAAATTTGCCAAGAGGTAAGTCATCATCTTAAAACTTCTACTGTTATATGATGTTAATGTAGTGATCTAGTTGGTTACCATATGATAAAATATGGTAAAATTAGATAAATCTATGGTTTAATGTTACAAAATGTAGTAATGCACAAGTCCTGTTTTG